GCCCAATTTTTGCACAGCGTCTGTCCCCAGCATGTAGGTCCACTATACCAAAGCTTGAGCGGATCCGTTGAGTGGATCCGCTGAAAATTGCGCATCAAACGGATCCACTCGGCTTCTGGCCAGCAAATTTGGGTCCATAGTACTACTTTTTGCAGAGTTCAGTATATATTTGACAAGCTAATGTGCAAGCTATAGTTTACCCTTAAAAAGTAATAAAAAGTCTACTACTTTACGAAAACAGCGCCAAAAAGCATTCGCTGTGTAAACGGTCAATTTTTTAAGATTCTACCTGATCATTTGGGAAGATTTTTGCACAGCGATGTAGCCCACTATGTTTATTGTCCTTACGGCGACTACCAAGCTATAAAAATTCCAAAAACCTATTTGAATTTGCATCTGTTCTTCTGGGAAAGATTTTATCCACGCGAAAATACCGATCTTACATGTAAAACCTCTACGAATGAGTAATTGTTTACGCATTATTCGTGATAGCCTACATAGCGCGCTGAGTTTCAATGTCATTATTATGCGGAAATGAGTAAGGCATACAGAAAATAGGGCCAGTGCGGGCCACTGCGAAGCAGAGGTGACGCACTGGTAATCATAACTTATAATGACGGGCTAAGGTTGTTTACGTGTTTTTGTGTGTGTGTATGTGTGTATGTCTGTGTGTCTGTCTGTAACGCAATTCGTAGAGCGAGTTCCAGCCAACGTCCTGAGCCCAAATTTTGCACATCGCATGCAACCAGCATAAGAGCCTACCGTGTAAAAGCACGAGTGGTTTTGTTGATTGGATCTTTCAGAAACTGCGCGTCAAACGAAACCACTTGGGTACTGACCAGCAAAACTGGTTCCGTATCACCACTTCTTGCAAAGTTGGTGATGTGTTTGGCATGCTGATGTGCAAGCCATGGACTTAAGTCCAAAAAAGTGGACAAAAGCTCACTACTTTAGGAGAACGACGCCAAAAAGGAATGGTTGCGTAAATGATTAATTTGCCATGGTTTTACCTGAGCATTCGAGAAAAATTTTGCACAAAGATGTAGCTCACGTTGCCTACTGTCCTTATGGTAGCTACGAAGCCAGAAAGAGTCCAAAATTCTATTCAAATTTGTATTTGTTTTTCTGCGAAAAGTTTCATCCACGCGAAATCACCGATCTCACATGAAAAAGCATTTCAAATGGGTAGTTGTTTACATTTTACTCGCGATAATAGGCACTGCGCGGTGAGTTTCATTGCCACTTTTAGTCAAGAATGAGTAAGGCATATGAAGTAAGACCAGTGCGTCATCTCTGCGAAGCAGAGGTGACGCACTGGTAATAATAATCGCCTCAGTGATTTGAAACCATCGAATCATTGAGGCGCACCTTCACACAGTCAAACTATTATTTATCTTGCTAAACAAGGAAGCGGTCATAAAATCTAAGAAGCGATTATGAAAACCCAAAAAGTTTAGAAAAGAATTTAATCTCAGCGATATAATCGCGTCGCCCGTTTGATCTCAGCGACGCAGTCGCTAAGATTTAGTCAAATCGCGACGGTTTCAGCGAAGGAAGTATGCCCGGGGAAAATGGCAGCCATTAGTAGCGCTGAAAAGCTATGACAACCAAATGATAGAAAGATCGGCACCAATAATGTTGTAAAAGTTTCCTTCAGGAGAATCGCGAGGCGATGAGATCGCATGATGTATGCTCGGCCCTTGAAGGCAGTGTCCAGGCTAAACCTAACCCCCTCCTTGTAGGATGGTCCAACTTCGGCTGTTCAATAATCTTAGCATTGTAGTTGTTGAACATGCTATATCTACCCATGACCTATTTAGACGGCGGTATTGCTTGGCGAAATCGGCTGCGGAGGATGGCTGATAGACACTGTCATCCATTAAATAGTTCCGTGTGATCGCCATGTCTAACTCGCATGTTAGTACCACAAACTCTCCCCCCTTGTCGCTGACAAATATTTTAATTTCCCCGGCGTTGCAGCGATCATAGATTTCGCGAAGGCCATGGCGCTGAGCGTGTCAGGTTGGATAGTTGGCGTTTTTTAGAGATTTTCTCGAGAATGGTACTGATGTGGCAAAAATGGGGAATTTTGTATCCACTACACTGTCTGGTTCCTGCGGCTTGTAAAGCAACCGCGGGAAGGGGATGGTTGGTAGTGAAATCAATGCCGCGCTTCTCCAGTCTCTTCCGCGTCGTTCCTCATTCGCTATGCGTCGTAACCCCTCGTGACAAATTGTAAACTGCCTACAATCTTTCGAGAGACCCATGGACTTAGCGACTGCCTAGGCGCAAAACTTGGGCCAAGACCCATAAGTGAGAGTGCGTCTTTGGATAAGAGTGCGTTACCTATGATCGAAACCCGCCGATAGTCCGGCACACTTAAAGGCAGTGTCCCACCAGAGTGGGGGGGAGGGGGTATCTGGCTCTTGTAATGATGTGATAGTAGACCCCCTACCTAAGCGAGACTGAAGTTCGGAGCGAAAAAGAGGGTCTCCAAGCCTGAAGTTTGCTTCGAAAGTGGGCCGAATCTTACGGTAGGGCCGAACGCCGCCCACACGGCAATATCGATTTGCAGGGCCAGAGTGCGTATAGCGCACACATCATGAGCGCAGGGACCCGCAACAACTCTGCGTCTCTACCTTGCATGCACCTCGCACTCGCCCGAGCCTACCGTAAAATTCGGCCCACTTTCGGAGCAAATTTCAGGCTTGGTAGACCCTCTTTTTCGCTCCGAACTTCAGTCATTGCTTAGGTAGGGAATCTACCTCGCACTCGCCCGAGCCTACCGTAAGATTCGGTCCACTTTCGGAGCAAATTTCAGGCTTGGTAGACCCCTTTCTCGCTCCGAACTTCAGTCATCGCTTAGGTAGGGGTCTACTATTACATCATTACGGGAGCCAGTTACCCCCAGTCTGGTGGGACGCTGCCTTTAAGGTCTCCTCAGTACAGTTCCCACTTTCCGTAATAAGGCTTGCACTGGCTGATACACGCACACGCTCACCTTGGCTTTGACTGATCACTTTTTGAACTTCTCTCGAAGCCTAGACTTGGTATGAGCGAACGAAATCACAATACAGTTCGACTCACCTACGATTCTCCTTCAAAGGTTTCCGGACACGAGACGTTGGCAACACTGTTCCTTGTACACACATTTCGACAGAAGCGAATACATGTGATCTTGCTTCGTCTTCAGGGCAGTGTTCAGGATCTTCTGCTCGATGTCCTTGATCTTTTTGGATCCTTTGGGGGTGCCGCATACCTCGTGAAGTCGCTTTCGTGGGATAAAGTTCGGGACTACTTGGTGGTCTTTGCAGCGGAGCAGAAAGTGGATGGTTTGCCTCTCCGAGACGATCTTCTGTCTCAAGGGGAGGACTTCCTTCACCAGCGAAAACATTCCCACATTCGGTGGTCAATGCGCCTCCTGTTGTGTCATCTAAGGTGAGTTCTGGCGGTCCGTTAATCTACCTTGGCTTTCGTACTGTTCACGGATTGAATGATATCTTGAGCTTTGATGTTGGCGTCTGAGTGGATGCGTCACTTATTCATTCGACTTTCCAGGCTCTGACGAAGGCGGAAAAGCCGAAACGTTGGCCGGTTGAATAAAAGTTATAACATCTTTGTTGCTGCTCAAATAGACGACACAGACATGGGAAGCCAAATTTGGGGTGGACGGTGCCTTTAAGGCAAAACTCGCATGTGCCATGTGATCTGACATGTTCAAAAGTTTTCATATGCACTACTGGAATGCGATTTTATTGAGTTTTTCAAGCAACAACACGTAACATGCCAAATTCTCTTTTACTGCATCTATAGGCGCTGTCAAGCAAAACTTACGTCTTGTAAGACGAGGTATTCAGAAGTTCAAAAAGACGGTTAGATCATACCTCAAACTCAAACTAAATCCAATCTTACCTCAAACTCAAACTACTTAAGCCCCTTGTACTTCTGGAGTACAGTTTCGTCAACGCTTAAAGGCAGCGCCGTGACGGAATTGAAACCTCAAATGTCGGTGTCAGATAGGGGCTCCCAACCAAGCCGAAAAAGCAGGTCCGCTCTGAAAATGTGGACTCTGAAAGCCAGGTGGGCGGGCCAAGCGACGCTCCTCTTTTTCCATTTCCCTCTCCTCTGACACCTATACTGACGAGCTTACAGTTTCCGCGCGCCACTTTTACGTTGCACTTGGAAGGTATCACCGTCTTGGTACATGTTTTCGCATTGCACCGCAAGAAATTAGCATTGGAACACTCGTACGCTCTTTAGAAACGGTTTAGGTAACGAGAGTTTTTGGGGAGCTCACGCAATTTTCAGTTCGGACTTGAAATAAAGGACGTCGAAAGAATTAAAAACGCTGAAAACATATTAGGTTGGCACGAAAGTTCGTTCGCACCAATTTGAAAAATATTGTAGGTTCTTTTAGCAGCTCTTTCTAACAGTGCAAAGTTTGCGCTGATTGAACGTCTCTATGAAAAGTTATGGTTTTCGAGCAATAAATAGAAAAGGGTGAATTTGATTCATTTTGGCATTGTTCAGGGAAATCGCAACTTTTTATAGAGACGTTCAATTAGCGCAAACTTTGCACTGTTAGAAAGAGCTGGTGAAAAAACCTACAATACCGATTGCTCCAATTTTTGCTGCAAGTTTCCGATTTTCAATGACCCTACACGAAAAATTCAAATTCTGAGTGATTTTGGTTTTACGCTTCTATCTCCTTCAATTGTACACATTAGCGAACAGTTTAGGTAAAAATGCGAAGACATGAGTTCTCTTAGGTAAAATTTGTTCGTACAAATTGTTAGAATTTATAGAATTATGAATTTTTGAACGGTGCGAACGAACTTTCGTGCCAACCTAAAACAAGTCGAGATTTTGCCTGGACGCTGCCTTCAATGACTAAAATCGTAAATCGCAACATTGTTGCTGTTTTGTTACAAGTATGCTTTCGTTTGAATTTTAGAGCTTTGAAAAAGAAAAAAATCTAAACTTGATCTAATGTAATTCAGATTTCGATATGGTACTTTATCCCATCCTGGTGTTTACTGCACTCACAAACGCCTCAGAAGAAGAAAACGGAATAAAGGTTGTGATTATCACTGCGATATGTCTAATGTGATGTTTGCAGGAATTTCTCGTAGTCATGGGATTGAGAAGGGAAACACTTGCTCTGTCAAGTGTTGTCTTTGCATTTTTCAAAGCAGCCTTTGCTGTAGCTGTTGTTGGAATCCCAGTCTGGAATTTGCATGTAAATTTTTTAGTTTCCTCATTGATAAAATGTTTAGATAAGTTCAGCAGAGTGTTACGCTTGATGTGGTATTCCCAACGCTATTGCTTTGCATCGGTGCGGCTGCGATGGGATTGCTGTGCTCAAGAATAGTGAAGTCGACAACTGCTGCCCTGATAGGTTTTACAAAATTCAAATCAGCTTTGGAACGATTCTATTCAGTGTCTTGCATGGTCATCGTAGTGTTGATTAAAGTAAACGGTTACTTGAAGAACTATAGAAAAGGCCTTTTTTATTACATCTGCCTGCTTAGCATCTTTTCAGCATATCAGAAATGCATATTCGCCATTCGGCTCTCTTATACCCGAGGTAAGCATTATGTCGTATCGCAACTCTAAAAGGATAACTAATCATCAAGCACTTTTTTCTGCGTTAGGTTAAACAAGAGAAATGTAAATCAAAGTGATCTTCTCATTTTTTTGAACATTTTGAAAGAATTGGAATGTTTGCTTCAGATCTGTTTCGTCATCTGCACGCGCCTCCACACTGAAATATGAGTGGTTTTCCAAAATTGCAGACTTTAGGTGGAGTAAAGTACTAGTTCTTCCGCTGCTCGAATAAAGTAATGTTGAGTCTGACAGTGGTGACTCAAGGAGAGGGGAGCTGAGTTGTGTTTATGCAAATTTTCAAAGTTACTTACATGGATTTTGAAGTTGTGGAAGCGGCTAGTATGTTTACAGGGTGCGCCAAAATTACCGGCTCGTGTTTCCTTTGGTGCCAGAATTATACAGTGCTGGACATAATTATAGGGACACTCTAGAAATCGTCGTAATTTTCATTCTTGTCAGTGAATCTGTCTGAAACGTTGCTGTATGGTGCGCATGTAAACCTACCATAACTCCTCAGAACGAACGGCTTCCAATCCCGTTGATTTCGAACGGAGAAAAATGGAAAAATTCGAAAAAGCTTGTTTTGCAGGCTGGACATAATTATAAGGACACCTGGCCTTTTTGAGCATTATCGCATTCCTTGACTCCCAAATTTTTTTGTAGAGTTACATCCCAGAATATGAAACTTTTGCAGCACCTAGGACCTGTCATGCTGCTCAAGGAAAGATGATCCTTGCATTTTTCGTTTCCAAAGGCATCAGAAGTCAAACTGCTTCAGTATACAATTGGTTTGAAGAGTTTTCAAGCCCTTGTTCATTTCAAATGATAATCATGGAGTCCACTGATCCTTCTGGATAGATGAGGTGAAGAGCGCTTCCGTAAACTCTGATTTTGACGGACAGACTTCAACCTCACCATAGGGTTGTCGTGCTTTTGCACCACAAAACTCGATTTTCATGTTACAGAAAACGCTGCAATGTAGCCGCAACAATACACGTACAACAATAAACTTGTGTGCCTAGTCAGGAAAAAATTTTCGGGGTTGCACATTCCGGTTCAGCCGCAGTTGTCATCCGTTGAGAGTTGAGTCGAGCACCCTGCACAATCATATCCAACTCAAATCAAGAACTCGAACAAGAGACCGCTTGAAACTTCAAAATCTTGCTAATCTCAGCTACCGCGCAAAGTGCGACATGAAACAGAGAATAAAACAGTGAGATTTGTGATTATGTTGAATCTACTGCTCGCATAGATTTTTCGTTGGAAGTATTTCAGATCTAAATGGCAACTGCAGCACTAGAAAAAATCTAAAAGTTGTTGCGGAAGATGCAATTTGATGTAGAGCTCTTTGCTGTAAGTTCCATCCATAACTGGAAGAAGTCAGAGTCGCGTCTTCATTCAAAGTGCAGCCAGCGGCACCTGATTATTCAGAAAGGTTTCTTTAGTTCGGCGCTTTTGAGGCTTTGTTTTCCTTCGGCTGATTCCAATATCTTAGCTTGCCTGCACTTCCTAGGACCCTCCTACAAAACTGCTCTGCAACTGGCGTTGGCTATCAGTTGGATGAGATGAGTTGCGTTCAAATTTTTCCTCAAAAATCTTCTTCACTCGAATAATATATTGGTGTTCTTCGAAATGCGTTCCAATTTCTTCTCGCAAACTAAAACGCACTCCTCGCAATTCTTTTAAAGCCGGTCGTAGTAGTGCGTTGGGACTGGTCAGTGGACTTCAGCTTGATTGTCCCTCCCTCCTCGATGGGCTAGTTAAGTTGATATAACTCCTTTCAGCCTGTTACTGTCATAAAAGACTTCCTTCCCTCTTGCGATATGATGGCAAGCCTTCTTTTCTAGCTTTTTAATCGAATGTAGGAAGCAGTAATCGGAACTATTGCAGAAGGATGGAATCACTGACAAGGGAAGGTCACTTAGTCAAACTGGCGATTCGGAAGGAGATCTATACCAATTGATAGAGCTTAAAAAGCTGATCTTGGATATACTTTTTATATCTGCGATGCATTGGTTCAATTTCTAAAGCCAAATTTTCGTGAATTTTGAGTCGCAAAATCAAGATAATCTCTACACAAAAGTGTGCGAGCTCAAGCAAACCACCTATTAAGTATTGTAGGTCTAATTCGAGTTCACCAGAATTTCGAGTATTTTTCGACCATGTTGTTCATCCACAGGTCGTCATTTCATCCCTAGATCACACGTTCATTATGTATACAAAAAAGCCCCATAACCTCCATCTAGAATAATGCGTCGCGTCGTAAACTTTTTGGGAATCACCAATGGATAAAAAGTAAAACTTTGTTTTCAAATATTAGGTCATTCCGAAAGTAATTTCGCTTTTTACAAACGGGCGCCACATCTGATGGAACAAAGATTTCTAAGAGATCCTGGAAGCATTCGATGCAGCATTTCATTCTCTTTCTAATGGATATGAAATTGTTGCAAAACAGTCAATGAGCTTTCAGAAAATGACCAAAATCTGCGACCTATGCTTTTTGAGATAGTCAAGTTTCACAATTTTTCAAAACTTTCATATCAGTCTTCAGAAGAAGTTCAAGTGACGGTGCGATAGACCAAACCGCCTAGAATACAGTGGAACTTTTTTCTCTTGTCCCTAGCTTGTTATTCACTTTTAACAGAATTTTGACTTATACAACCGATTTCCATACTTGGACAGCTAAATCCTCGAACAACACCAAACCTTGAGCAGCTCGGGTGTCATTCGATGCAGCTTGTTCTCCTCTTTCTAATGGGTGTTTTTTGTTTCCGATTCGTTTAGTTTCCGGGGATAAAATCATCATAACTCATTTTTTGGCGAGCCCCAGGCTGGACCGGAAAAACTCGAAATTTGATATTTCGAGCCCGTAAACCCTCACTTGTTTTGTAAAATTGATGCAAACTCATATACCATCTTGGTAGTATCAAATTCCGGAAAATTATGATGTTTGATGCGATTGTGGTTGCGGTGGGCCTGCCAAAATCCAATGGTTCTGTTAAAAAATCTTTTAAAAAATTAGGGCGAGCTACGAGAAAGGGGAAAAAGTAGTACTGTATTCTATAAGGTTTACTCTATCGAATCGTTACTTGAACTCCTTCTGAGGATTGATATGAAAGGTTTGAAAAATCGTGAAACTTGACCATCTTAAAAAGCATGGGTCGCAGATTTTGGTTATTTTCTGAAAGCTCATTGACCGTTTTGCAACAATTCATATTTATTAGAAAGAGAATAAAATGCTGCATCGAATGCTTTCAAGATCTCTTAAAAATCTTTGTTCCATCAGATGTGGCGCCCGTTTGAAAAAAGCGAAATTACTTTGAATGACCTAATATATCTTCATTATCTGCGACGCATTTTTCTAAATGGAGGTTATGGGCTTTCTTTGTATATATAATAGAAGTGTGATCTAGGAAGGAAATGGCGACCTGTGAATAAACAACATGGTTGGAAAACACTCGAAAACGCTCGAAGATCAGCTTTTCAAACTCTATCAATTGGTATAGATCTCCTTCCGAATCGCCACTTTAACTAAGTGAATTTCCCATGTGAGACTTTTGAGCAAGCTCTTTTTTTAGCGATAATTTGGTCGATCTCCGCTGGGTCGTTCTGTTGGACGACTATGTTTACAACGATTCTTTCTTCATGGGAGAACTTCCCATAGAAATAATGTGCGGCGAAAAGAAGTTACAAAGAGTTCGTTTTCGTTCTAAAGCTCATATATCAACTTCCCAATCCTCAGTCCTTCTAATGGCATCCAGCTTTCGCGTTCAAGCCGCTCATAGCAAACGTGTTGAAAAACCTCACTGCGGAGAAATCCATCATGTTTGCATGACAGCATTTGGTTTCGATTCGCCAGATGAGAGGTATAATCATAGGATGCCTAGTCAAGGTGATAGGATCTTATATCAATTGACAAGATAGATGACACCACGAACGATGTGGGTATCATCACTCCTGTCGCACGTCCTTTTTCCGACCAAGTTTCCTGCAGAGCGATGACGTGGTATAAAGTGCTCTGCGGTGTCGAGAAGATGTGGGTCGGCTTTTGTGGAGACTGTCTTGGCGTCTCAGGTTCGAGGCACTATGGAGACCACGGCGTGCCGACCAGGCAGAAATGTGATTTTTGTTCGATACATATAATACCTCAGATATCCTGACGCCATCCTCGTTGATGTACACGACGCCGTACGATCCGCTGTGCAAGATTTTTTCTTCTTTTCTTTTTGCTGAATGGCTAAGAGATTTTGTTCAGGCAAGAAAATAATTAGACTGCTTCTTCTCAACAGGGCGATTGCCTAAGCAGGTATAATTGGAGCAAGGACCACAAGCGAAACTCAGCTATAGTCTGGCCGGATTTCGGCAAGGCCTGCTCTTAGTTGCGCATGGATTGAAGCTGTAAAGTCAAACTTTTTTGCAGCTTGGAAGGCCCTAACAAAGTGTACATTTACTTACATTGGTGTTCGACGCCTACTATCGCCCTCACGCTACATTGAGGCGGCAGGCCAAAGTTGGGGTTTGAGTTACGGGTTTATATCCTGCAGCCTCAACGTGGCGTGAGGGCGACACTGGGCGTCTCTGGGGTTGTGGATTCGCTATTTTCAAAAAGAATCCCAAGAAATTCTTTGGAAAGCAAAGCTAAGTTCACGCATCTTTATTCTAAAAAAAATTTATCGCTTTTCTCCCCGAAAGAAAATCCGTTGAGAAATGGAATTTTCTATTTGGAACATACGGCGGAGCCGGGTAAGCCAGCTAGTAAATAATAAAACAGGCTTAGAATCACTCTTAAAGGCAGTGTCCAGGTAATCCGGTCGCATGGCTCTTTCGCCTGGAAATTAATGAAGAATCTGAACTAAGGCACTGCCCAAGAGGCAGCGCAAATTGTCCAATCATGGCTGAGATACGTCTTCGAAAACCCCGCGCCTGCGCCTTGACCGTAATCCAAAAACGACTTCGCTCACTTTAACACTACGTTCGCGC